CGGGAATCCGTTGGCTCACAGGATTCAGATAGAGTGAGAGACAGGAAGAGAGAGAGAGCTGGAAGCCACAAACAGCTGTTTCCACGTGCCACCTCCTGCTGATTGAATGATTGTGAATTGTGAATGCTCTGTTTATTAAATGTAACCTCAATAATTAATACTTTATTTGTGATGACAATCACCCTACTGTCATCACTTTGGATATCCAATGAAGTGCACGAGAAGGAGACGGGCGAGCAAAACTCTTTGGTTGCCATGCTCAAGTGCATTTAGGGCACTTGTATCACTTTTGCTATTTTGACAGCAGAACAAAAGGTCGCTGCTCCAGATGTATGGTTCAAAAGAGTTGTACTTAGTTTTGGGCATTACATGCAGTAAACCAATCAGATCCCATTCCCTTTAATAGCCAGGCACTTACACCTTGGCAGACACAACGTTAGACATCTTTTATGTTATATTATGAGAAGTGTAAATACATTTTCCTTTCATTATGAAACTGTGGTGGGAAAAATTCAGTCTAAGTGATGAATGGGAAACACTGTGGCCTCTGCTTGTGAGTGTACGCACGTTGTCCACCTGCCTATGTAGGTGCATATTACTCTCTTGACAATGCTCCTTAAAATAACAGTGAAATACTGCGCCACTGACTTCAGACCAGGTCTTTGTTGGCCAATCACTTTCTGCTGCCTCAAGATAACAATGTACCAACAATGTACCTGACCACACCTCATTTTAAGACCAACACACATGGGCGCTCCAATAAGCAGCAAGTGTATTTGCTATTTTACCAATGAGAACTGTGTCGGTTTGAAACTAACAAAGACCTTGCCGGGTGCAAGATAGAAAAGCCTAAAGAGATACTTGCTCATAAGAATATTACAAGTGTCTCAGGACTATCACTCCCTCAATCCAACCGACGCCCCGCCCTCATCACCTAAATTAGGTTATTTGTAGACAGCACAAAACCCAAAGTAAAGACTTCAAAGTTTTCCTTTAGAAACTAATGAGTGAGATCGTGTCATGTTGTTATGTAGAAAGATGTATAGGATCAGTCATACAGAACTACAGATAATCCAGGGAACCCATCACTATATTTCCTGTACATCCACTTAGTGTTACTGGCTAATTAATGGCTGACCCGTTCTTTGTACATATTTGCTGGCAGACGCAGAGGCTAATGGAGTGAAGCCCTCGGGTTAGAACATTCACACTTGCATGACCGCTCTTTAAAATAGGCCAGCTTCAAGCCATTTCAGTGTCAGCGCAAGAAAAACTTGCCTTTTGAAACTTTCATCAATGATATATTTAGTTTCTCCGCTGCTGGTGCAGACCAGCTGGATGAAACAGACCTGTATGATGGATGTCTTCAACTTTCAACCTCTGCATACTTTCAGACAGCTCTGGGATAGGATCAGGCTGCGAGTCACATGTGGTAAAAGCAACAGCAAGAAGCAGCGCATCAGTGCGACTAAACAGAACATGTTTCAAAGGAAAAAATAAATAAAATAAATACTGGATTCAGCATTTCCCATGATGCAACCACTACTATGTTTTTCATGCACAGTAATCTCAGACTTTTGGAGCCTGCTGTATGAGTCAGTTCACCTTTGAACTCGCCTAGAAAAAACATCCAAATCAGTCTTAAACAACACAACCAACCAGCAAATTTGCACAGAAATGAAGTTGCAGTTCAAAGTCACAGACAATAAATAAGCCTGTGACAGGGTAGTTATCTGCTCCCATTCATTGGCCTTTACACAGTTCAGAATTCACTACAGCAGTATCAGAGGAAAGAGAGACGACGGCTATTTTCAAGAGATGTACCAACGCTGCAACTCGAGCTATTTTTGTATGTATTCCAGTAAATGCCAAAGCAATACACCTCGCCTAATTTTCAGTCACGCCTCAACGAAAACTGCTTTTAACAGCTCACGTCTCGTCCTCCTTGCTGCAGAGTTCAACTAGTTTCCGCTGACAGGAGAATTATAGGTCTGCGCTGCTCACTACGCAGCTTGAATGGGACATGGCACCGGAGCAGAGCAGCTCTGAGCCTGACACAAAGGAGAGTATCTGAATGTAGAGCTGAATGTAGAGCAATTAATTAGGGTCCTGTGGCCTATTATCTAGGTTTTCCATCTCATAATACAAGTCTGAGATGAGATGAATATGAAGTCACATGAAGGAATAGTACACCAGTTTGTTGTAAAACAAAATGACAGATGGATGACTTCTTCAAATGTCATTCTGTCTCACCTCATTAATTCAGAGGGAATATACAAGTGTCTGGCTCCATGCAGGGAGGTGGACTTGTGCTTTGTGTTGTATACTGTAGTGAGTTGAGTCTGACCAACACTGAGGAAATAATATCTGAAGATAATAATATCTCAAATAGAGCATAATTGAGATTATATTCAGTCCCTCTCATGTTAACATTGGACTGATTAGAGGCTTGATAAGTCCTCTCCTTGTGTTTTCTTTCACAAATTCACTGAACAACAAAAACTGCAAAACTGCAATGAGTGTTTTCGCTCCAGTTTAAACTCAGTCTGTAACTTCTGCCTCTAGGGGTCTCACAATCAAAACTTGTTCAGGTGGTTTTTACCAGCAGCTGAATTATCCACAGAGGTGTCCTCCTCTCCATAACAAACACACCAGGGGATTAAAACCAGTAGAAATAATGAATAAAACATTAATGATGCTAAAAGTCAGGCAGTCTTGGAGGAGCTGGGAGCTGAGCTGTCTAACATTTCCTCAGCTTGTTTCTCTGAAAACTTAAGATAGAATGATTAAAATCACAGATTTGGTAACAGTGTGACACTCAAACTACAACTGGGTATAGTTACAGGGTTACAGGTACAATAAAACGCACTTCTGACCACAGCCATTTACAACCATTTCTGATTTTGGGTGTGATCAGAAGTATAACTTTAACTTTCATGTAGAAAGTGTCATTGTATTTAAGTTTTTCACAACTTAATTAATTTTAAAAATGATTAGAGATCGAGACAAATGCATTTTGCAGATCACTTAATGACAAATGATGTTTTCACTTATTTCAATTCAAATCTAGTCCAGCAAGCACCCATTAGTGGCTGTTGGTATTATGGTGATGGTCGTATGCATCATTCAGATCCTTTTACAGCAACAGGACTGATGCACCAGAGAGAGTGTTATTTCGGAGCTATCAACACCACGAGATACAACCTTAAACAGTTGTTGTTGTGTTTTATCAGGTTTGAATACCCCATGTATTTAAAAAAAAAAAAAAAGGATGGCTGGAAGATGGTTTGGACCATTTAACCTTTCCTACCTTTCCCAGGATGCACTGCTGCATTGTGAAGCAACAGTATCCTCAATTTTTGATGCTGACATGTTTCAATAGGAATATATAACAAAATGATATTTCACTTCAAAGTATGAATTGGCCTCAAACTGCTATTAGTCAACAAAAAGTAAGTCAGACGCTCAAAAGCGTGAATGAAGGCCTGAACAGTGAAACTCATTCATTGAACGGCTTCAGTGTTTCCCTTTGCTTTGATCTTCACTGTTGGCTTCACCCTCCTGTCTCCCTCAGCTGAGGCCAGGGTCAGCAGCAGGTCAACAGACAAGGCATCCTGGGAATTACCAAAACATCCAAGGACCTCAGTGAGAGCCTGGTTCTCTGCCCACCATCTGGTTTCCTCTGTTGGGACAGTCTCTTCCCACCTCTGCACACGCTTGTAGAGGAAGAGGATGAAAAGAGGGCCATTAGTGTTTCGGACTGATTATTGTGTACACTAACAATATTAAATTATATAAAAGTAGCTACCTTGCTGCACCATCTGGTCAGCCTAAACTTTGTGCTTGCACCCCTTTGTCTCTCCCAATCGCCCAAGCCGTAAGCATGTCTATATTTGCTGTAGGGGGGTAAATGGGCAGTGGTACAACCTTGGTGTGCCTTGAATTCAGTGGTGTAGTCTATGTGATACACACGTACCCGCTAAGAAAGCTCCATAATTTCCGTATAACCACCTAAAACTGGGAATGGATATGTAACAACATTTTGTGACAGAACTTGCACTTCAGCAATTTGTTTTTGTAAAAGAAAGGGTTGGGAGATCTGACAGTAAACTCAACAAACGTGTTGAAGTGTCCCGCCCACAGCACCATCTGATTGGTCACACATCATGAGTAACAGCCTATCAACGCTGAAAGCTTCTGTGCACACAGACGGTCACAGACTAGAGCAGCAGCAGTTAACGAGCAGCTCCGGTTAACGAGTGGAGCTGTGTGTCGAAGGTAAGACAGCAGACATCACTGAAGCTGTAATAAACATCACAATCCTCCACACTGAGGTTACAACAACACCACACTCTGATGAACACGTTCACCTGTTGGTCCTAGACACACAGAGAGAGAGAGGGAGAGAGAGAAAGACAGAGAGAAGCTAGCGCTGACTGCTAAAGTGCCTAGCACATCTGAATATCATGCTGAATTAGTCAAAGACTGAAAGGAGCAGAGAGCTCTGGGTGCTGGAGCAGAACTAGTGTAAGTTTAAAGACATAAACTGTGTTCAGACAGAGCAGCAATAAACTCTCGCAGTAACAGAAACTGACTGGAGAGGAGACACCACACTGATGTCAGCACACGAACGCTCACTCACTGCTGTCAGTGAAAGGTAATGTACTCTGAGTAAACGTGTTAAGAGGAGGGGTCAAACATCTTATATTATGATAATACTTTTATTATTATTAACAAACAAATTTAGGCTGCCAGGGAGCCAGTATCAGTTCACAGGCGAGAACAGCGCCAAAATCAGCCAATTGATTCCACCCAGGTTCTTTGAAGTCTGTGCATACACCTGATAACTATTAATATACACTCAGTTGGCAATCTATTAGGAACATCTAGCTATAAGTGATGTAGTCTAATACAACATTCCTGCTGTAAATCCTCCTTCATGAAGGTTAAAATGTTCAGTTTGTATTAAAATTGTTTTAGAGGGTTGTTGATCCGACAGTATGATCAGTGTGGAGGATGGAGGTAGGCAGGTAAAATGTTAAGCAGGGACATTGTAGTCTAAGTCCAGGTCTCCATCAACTGCTGCTTCTTCACTTACTCATGATTTAAGGACATTCAGTTGCCATAAAATAGATTTTTCACATCAAGCTTTTCTACCATTAGAAATAAGCATCAGTGCTACCATCTCATTGTTTTCATGCTCGTTTACCCTCTGATGAACACATTTCCATATTTTCACACTTCCCTTTATGAAAAGACTCAGCAGGAGCAAATGCGAAACACACAGAGCACAGTTTTTGTTTTTTATGTCAACCACTTACTGTACGTCTGGTTTCATCCTTGCTGTGAAAAACTTTTGCTAGTATGGGATGTGTTGGTGGCTGCTGAGGATGATATCTAACATCACCAACATCTTGTGCTGGGCTGCTGTTGTCTCAGTGATCACTGCGTGTGTCCCTTCCTCTCTTTGTTCCTTCTCTCAGCATCAGACTCGTAACTCGTGTATTAAGTGGCAGTAAAAAAGTCAGAAGATTATAAGCACTTGGTAACAGATAGTCAGAGCAGCTATTGATTAAACAACTTATGCATTCATTAATTTTATTTTAATTTTATTAATTTCATTTTTTAATGTCTTTTAATATTTAGCACATTGACTTACTTGAGAGTGAAATGTGCTACATAAATAAAATTGATTTGACTAGATATTTATTTAATTATGTACCTGTTTATTTAAAGCTCCCTATTTTTTATTCTTCCCCTGTGTTTTATTTGAAGTGTTGATCCATAAGAAGATATATTTGTGGTTTTAAGAACCAAAAACCATGTCAGTGTAGTTTTACATCTCCTCTCTCAGGCTTCTCTCTAGAGCTCTAGTTACAACAGGTCGGTGAGCCAATCAGAAGAGAGGAGGCTCTGAGCCTCTCTTCTGTTTGGCTGACTGTTTACTGAGTGACCCAATAAAAATGTAGCAGATTTCAGGTAAACACTCAGAGAAACCAAATCCTGCAATGTTGGATGGTTGGTGGTGGGTGGGGCTTGGGGCGTGGCTGAGGGTGGTGACTGCTTTGTTGTGACATCACAAAGTTCCACAAGTCCTGACGGCTGGTTTTAAGGCTCAGTTTCTGAATACAGGCTGTGTGCATTTCTCTGTGGACTGAGGCTCTGATACTTTCACAGTATTAATATAGAAGCTAAACCTGATCTATAATCACACTACACATGGAAAGAGACCTTTAGACTGTATGGGAGCTTTAAATATTAATAAATTCACTCTTTCATTCATTAACTTGTCTTATTGACTTATATCTACAATGGAAACATCATAAGCTTCTGAACATCTGGATTTCTTGCAGAATCCATCATCAGCTGTTCTTTCTGTGAACTGCAGTCACTTTATTCCACATACTGTCTATGCTGGTACATCCCCTCAGCAGTCCTGTCCTCCAGAGGTTGTGGTGTCACAGCTGTTTTTAGAGCAGGTTAACCAACATGGTGATCGTCCAATTAAATCATTTTGTTTCTGACTGGGTGTCCGGCCCACCGGGAATGTTCCTGATTGGCCAACCCAGCACTGGCTGAAGCCCTGCTCTGTGACGACACGGTCAGCTGTTCAAGTGTTTAGGGCCCGGTGCTACTTTCAGTCCTGGTCCTCCCTCTGACTATCTCTCTCTAACAGCCTCTGAAAAAAATGACTCCAGTACTCCTCTGGCCCCAGGCTTTCACTCTGTGGACATTTACTGTCACAGGCTGTCTCTCCTCCACACACACACACACACACACACACACACACACACACAAACACACACACGACTTGTCTGAGAGCGGCTGTCTGAGGAGAAATATAGAGTGTAAAGATTATTTTATATGTATGGTGCTGAGGACACATCACAACCTCGTAATAATGACATTTTGAAATTTTCTATTTACCGCTTGGATGAAAATGTTTTGCTTTTTCAGCAGCTGCCTCTGTTTGAGACTTGTGGTTTTTTTTTTTTTTTGAGCAATGTTTCATTGGAATTCAGATCATACTCACTTGGTTTTAAAGGACATGATATTGCTCTGAAATGTCATTTTTCTCTTCACTCTGTCTCACATAAAACCATGTCCTTCTAGTGCTCAGACCCTGTCGCTTTTCTCATCCTCTTTAGGTATTTATGGTCCAGACGAGGGCTGGGTGTCTGCCTACCCAGAGTGTGGAGAGAGAAACCAGTCGCCAATCAACATTGTGGACCAGGACACCAAAGTGTCCACAGAGTATCAGGAGCTGACACTGGAGGGCTTTGATACCGAATCCTCTAATAAGACGTCTATGAAGAACACCGGCAAAACAGGTATGGTGGAGACAACACAGACTCCTGTGGCTGATTGAATTTCTCCTGGTTTATAGCATTTTGATTTATGTGGGATGAGCTTGTTTGTCTCACACTCACTGAAATGCTTGAATTTGTAAACTGATCGAGTCAGCTAAATGCTAAAAAGGAAGCATATGGACATTTTATGGAAGACTGAGAGGCTGATTTGTTCAGCATTTGAAACACATTTGAGGTCCCCAGTATTTCCAGCATTTCACATTTACTTTATACTGTGTCTATAGCTCAGTTTGTCTGAAACGTTGATCCAGAGCAGGATGTCTTGACATCTACTGGTCCAGTTGCTGTTAAACTTCATGAAATATTCATGGTCTCAGGGAATGATTCAAAATTTCTAACATTTTGTCCAATGGCACAAGCAGCTGAAATGTTGGGACATGAGATATGAAAGAAATTCAAACTATCCTGTGCATTTTAATTGTGACCCCAGACCTTTCCTGTCAGGACCATAGACTGTAAATAAAGATGGACGTATCCTCTGTGACGTGTGTGGAGCTGAGACTTCAGTGCATGATGGTTTATGGCAAGCATACACTCACCCACCTGTCACTCATAGAGGCCACGCCCTAAATTCTACATAACGTTAATCCTTAATAAAAATGTAAACAGGTGAGTTATATAAACAGGTGTAATGAAGGAGGAAATTATCTCTAGAGACCAAAACAGTTTTTGTACCAGGCTGTAAACATGTTTACTTCTGCTGTAAAGTTGGACATTTTAACATGGGAGTCTATGGGGACTGACTGACTGTTGGAGCCAGACTCTAGTGGTCATTAGAGGAACTGCAGTTTTTGGTTCTTCAGTGTTGGCTTCATTTTTCATTCGCTTGGTCAGAACCATGCTCACGCCAAAATGCTACTAAAACTATTTGATGATCCCACTGAGTTTGTCCAGCACCCACTCTGGGGACAAACTTTACCCCCATATGATGTCACTACAAAGAGCTCAAGAGTTCACCACTGAAGTGGCTAAAAGGCTCAGGTGGCGACTGTCCTCCTGTAAAAAACAAGCCCATAGGTCATCTGTGCAGCAGGTTATTATGATCCATAGTTACGTTTCGTTGCTAGGTGACATCTAGTGGTCACAGTAATCTTGACAGGTGACGTAGTATAAAGAGAGACAAAGTCCACGTCAGGAGGAGGCTGTGGTGGAAGGATGAATATGACACAGGACGTGACACGTGTTCCATTCCCATGTGAAACCAGCTGTTTATGTTGTTTCTATTTTCCATGACAGTTTGACAAAGTTAACCACATTGTTATTATTGTAACCATGACAACCAAGATGGTCTAACTTTGAGAAAGTACTTATTTTAACCCAAATCACCATCTTTTCCTAAACCTAACAAGCCATGACTGTTATTACAGTAACAATGGCTACGGAGGTAGGTATGCTGCTGTTGGTACAGTGCTTATTATTGTAACCATGACAACCAAGGTCCAGTACACCTGCCGCCATAAGGGTGCTATTTCAGGATACAGTCCTATGTGTGTTATCAGAGGGTTGATGGTTGTTGAGTTTGGAGGACTGTTTGCGTAGGTGCTGTACAAAGACATTCAAGTATGTAGTCTTTGAGAACAGAAAAAATGATTAGTTTATTGTTGATTTTGTGCAACATTTTCATATTATGGGATGTGATGAACATTAAATCCTCTCGAGTCTGGTATCAGGACTACTGCTCTGGTTCTGTTTATGCACTTAACGTGCTGGTCTTAGTGAAACACTCAACAGGTCATGATCCTTCACTGACCTTATCCAAAGTTCCTCTGTAGCCTGAACTAACCTTAAGGGATGAGGGATGCAATGTGTGATCTCTTGCCTCCATTATCATCCACCCAGATCACCTCCCTGTGCCATCTGTAGAGTGTAACAACATTCATCCTGAACATACAGTAATCCATGCAGCAGTTACGCTGCCTCCCAAACTTATTTGTCAGCATTTTTTAGTTGCCTATAAATGCAGTTTTTGTTTTGCCTGAGGTATGGCAGCGTTCAACTTTACTAAACTACTCTAATTGTGTGCTCACAGTTTCTTATGGTTTACATCTGGAAGAGCTCACTGTCTCTTTTATCTCCGAGTGGTTTAGATAATGTGGATAAACTGTTGCACTGCTCATTTTTCTTGCTCAGTCACTTTAACAATGTTATCACTTCCCCAGATCTCAGCAATTACTTCTGCTGATAGAAATGGTCAAAACTCTGGAAATAATTATCCTCTGATCTCATCTTTTATTTGATCTTAATCATGTTTCTCTTTTCACTTAACCTCACACTCGTCAAACTTGAGATTGCATCACGTCGCCACAAACCTCAAAATAGTAGAGCGGTGTTCTTCAAAGGCATTTTGCCAGTTGTTTATGACAGAGTGTTTGTAACCCCACAGCTCTGTGACAGACTACAGTTCAAAGAGAATGAAAAGCTGAAGTGACGTCTCTAATAATCCCAGCTCATACTGGCAGGTGTCTTCATGTCAAACATCTGTTGCGTCACTTTCCTGCACATGATTATCAAACAAGACAGGTGCAATATGCAGCAAGTCATTTATGGTGAAGATTGCACATCCCACTTTCACACAGACACACTGCAATCCCTGTTAGTAGTGCCATGGCAGGTGTCACTGCCTGTAGGATTCAGCACCGGGCCATCTGCATTCGCCTCTCCTGGCATCTCGAGGACCCTCCTCGTCAGCCACAGGTATTTTTCACAATTCCAGGTTGTCACTAAGATGGATGATCCTTCCCCCTCAGTGGAGAAATGGAGTTGAAAGGCTTTTGAGAGGCAGAGGCCACAGGTGGCTGCTGGCATCGCTGTTGACAACACTCTCGAGTACCACCCGAAGCACTGCACAGCTGTGTGTGTGTGTGTGTGTGTAGCACTGCAATGTCTAACATCCAATCATTTGCTCAGTCCAAGCCATGTGGTTCATGTGTGATGACACATTTGAATAAACTGCCAATTTGTCTCTTGGATTACTGTGGATTTTGTTTTGTATTAACCCTAATAACAGAGAGAGACCTAACAAATAGAAACGTCTGATCCATTCAAAAACACTGTATCTGAACAAATGATAGCTGATATATTACACTACATAACATCTGTACACATCTGAGACAACAGAGAACATCTGCACCAAAAAAAAGTTAGTGGTCTTGATCCCCCAGAGAGAATCTGCATAAAATTTATTGGCAATTGGTTGAGATACTTTAGTCCGGAGTGCTCAATATTCCCATCACTAAAAAGAACATAATGTAAAAAATCTGGTTGGAGCTGGGGATGCAACGGTTATAGATTAGGATGGTACGATTTTAGTCTGAGGAGTAATCACGGTTTCACGATTATTATGCATGAATTAATTTAACAAGATTTCTGATGAATAAAATCACATGAGCATTCTTTATAAATTGTAATGTCTTATTTATTGCTGCCTTTTGAAACAGAAAAAAATAAAGCAACCACCAAATACAGAATAAAATGATAGTTAAAAATAAAAAAGTCTGTATATCTCTGTAAACATCCATGTCAGTATTTCCCTTTTCAACAAAACAAATGGAGTCAAAGGCTGCAGGACCTCTCTCTGCAAAAATGTCACAACATTATTTAGTATTTTCAGTTTGTGTGTTCTTTTTTAATTAAAGAAAGAAATTGTGAATACCTCATATACGATGTTATTAATAACTGAAAAGCAGTTCATTAAAACCCATGGTACAGTGCTGGAAGTTTACAAGCTCCTAGTGTTAAGTCAGTGGCATATTAACCTGCCATGCCCAGAGTTTATTCAGCACCGATCGGAGGAGGCAACATAATGTAACGTTAAATGGTCACAGTGACTGACGCTGGTTTACTGCCTGTTTGATTCTATAACTCTCACCGCTACGCTGTTGATTGTGAGTGACATGTTTATTTTAAATCCCTCCCAACTCAGTGTTTCATGAAGTAACTTGCCTCCAACATAATCTAAATTCTACTGTTTCCGTGGAAACCATTGATTTGCTGCCATTAGCACTTGTGATACCCAGTCACATTAAAGAAGTGTGCCGTTATCTCTAAGTTTGAGAAAAATCTGAACTTCACGTGTTTTGTGCACCCAGCCCCTGATTTTATAACGTCGTCTGATAACATCACCAAACACATCAGTTAAAGACAAAGACTGAGCTGTGATTTCAGATGGATTTACTGTGACATGAGAGAGAAAGTTTGAAGACACACATTATTTTTCTTATTTTGTTCCTCACACAGAGGACAGCCTCCATCTGGGTAACAAACTGCTGCGCTGCAGTCCAGCCCAAAAAAGAGTGTGTGTGAAAGAAGCAAAAAAAGATGACGCACCATTTTACAGGAGAATACTGTGTCTGTGTTTATTGGTCAGGGGCCGCCAGGCAAGTAGCAGAGTCTTCAGGAAGTTAGAGCAGGAAATAGTAAAAGAGGAACAATAGTAATAGTAACCTCTTATAAGATGGTCAGTTTTACACTATAGTTATTGTAACTACTGTTAGTCACAGCCAAGCTCACTCTTTCCCGTGTTCCCAGTCTTTGTGCTAATTTAGGCTAAACAGCTCCAGCCTGTAGCTTCATCTTCACTGTATAGACACGGGAGCGCTGTCAGTCTTCACATCTGACTCTGCAAGAAAGCAAATTTACCAAATTAACTATTCATTTATTTGTTAAATTGGGTCCAGTTTAGCACTTTTCATCCCTGGCGCTAACCAAAGACCAGGACTTAATTTCCCAAAATTCATTTTAAGGCAGAGTCTTAACATACTTTTGGGAGATGGGGCTCAGCTACAGTATGAAGTCAGTATGCATCCAACACCCTTCAACTTGCATTCATATTAAATAACACATATACAGTGTACGGATAGTGGTGTTACTTGGTGTTTATTTCTTTGTGTTGTCCCAAAACCTCGGTCCAGAATGAAATACCACAACTATGGGTTTGAGAAGGGAGAGTTACAGTTTACAGT